TCTTGATCTTGTTGAGTTTGTAAGATTGTGCAATAGTTAAGTAAACAAAGTTGATGCTGATAATCAAACTGTTTGTTCTCCTTTTTTTCCCCAAATTGGAATCGAAAAAAGAATCGATAAAGAATCGAATCGTTTCATAGAATCGAAAAGGGAATCGGAATCGTGAAAATCTTCTCAATTCCCAACCCTAATCAAGATCCAGTTTTATTGTACAGTTCTGTCTTACACTGCTGTTATAACTATTACAACAAAGGCTATGCATTAGAGCTTCTATAATCCAGTTAGTTATTTGATTACTAAATTAGTTGACAATTATTACAACAATAGATAATCCTGATCCTTAATATGATGCACGATTCACCATGTGACTAGCACAACAGACGCTAGGCGCATTCGACATGATTCGACCTGCAAAGATCCTATGGGTGTTGGTTTGTGCACGGTACATGCTGGTTAGATCTCTGTCGAACTTGCTGCGGTCTGTGTCTGGAGCAGGTGAGCAACTGAAAATTTGAGAGAGCAGAAAAAGATCCAGCCGTCTGAGCCAGCCGCCACTCAAACTCTTGATCAACTGCCGGTGGCTCTCGTAGTACATTAACGGAAGACGTCCTACTGTCACCAGTAAACTGACAGATGATTGGATCAAAGACAAGTATCGAATGAAACCTAGAATAGATAGGTATCCTAATAGGTATTGAATAGATAAGGCCCTTCATACCCTCTCCACTCTTCCAATTCATCTTTATTTGTTCAAACTATGCATTAATATAAACTTGAACAATTATTCAGTGGCATATGTATATGTTCATAACAGGCCTAGATGGAGGTCATATGTTGTAATGAATGTAACATTTAAGGCTATTATATAAATATGTAGTAGGCTATGCTTGGCTGATTATTTAATAAGTTTGTTTTGTAAAATGTTGACTTATTAATAGGCTAATTGCTAATTGTGGGTAGGTTTATAACAAGCTAAAAATTTGACAGATTATCCAAGCTATAATTAATAAATATAATGGAACTAAATGTGAGACACTGAATAAATACAGTACGCTGGTGAAGATTATCGGTCATCCAAATCATAGTCATTCCAAAGAAGTTAAAAAACAATCCACTGGATTTTGTTTCCAAGTTTTAAGACATTTGGCTTCCCATGCAGGAAGCTTTTTCAATTAAAAATGAGAAAAGAAAAAGTTTAGTACATTAGACTCCAATATAGGGCTGCAACTAACGATTATTTTGAGGGCGTAGCCACAAAGCTTTACCGACAAGCTGTTTGTTTACACTCCCCCCACCAGCTTCTTGTCGAGCGAGTGAGTTGCGCTAGTTGGTCAGACGGTTGGCCAAAAGGCACAGATATGGCTTGAAAAATAACGGGTTGTTCTCACCAACAATCTTCTGATGTCTCATTCATCGGGGCCAGACAAAAATAACACCTTTCATCTCCCATTTAATCTGGTTTATCAGGCAAGTAATTCCATCAATAAGGTGGATAACACAAGAGCTACAGACTGGTCCTTTCCCACAACAGTGTTTTACGTCTACCAATCAGCACAGCCATGTACTCTGCACTGTTAGTTTCAAATGCACCTAATATTATCCAGCATTGAGCAGCTGAGACTGGTTGTAACAGCAGCCTTATTTGTGGTGTTATACACACACTTACAGTTTTGTGGTACTTGAGATACAATGACCACAAAATGTAACTCATTCACCAACCCCCTGAACCAATTCTGCTGAACTACAGCCAGAATTCCTGCTTTACACTCAAATTGCAGTTCTAAAACACACTTCTTTCAAAACACTTCACAAAATTCTTTGCTTTTGGCACAAGCTTCATGCAGAAAATTTCCTGTTTTCACAAGGAACACACAGTAGTTCAAATATGATGCATCACAAGACCAAACACCTGTCACACAGTTTTCCAATAAGCAATCAGAGCTTTAGCATAAAAGGGCAACAGGTGAAGCAAAGGATGCCATCACTGGAAACAGAGGCAGAACCAGAGGAATGAGAGTAAAAGGAGGAGGACAGGGAGGACCAAGACTAGAAAGGCCAACGACCGTGATCCCTGTTGAGATCAAAGCCACTGTGGTTGATCATGCAGTCAACCATGTTCTAACAGTGAGGGAGGCCGGGCAAAGAGAACAGCCAAATCTGAACAGGTACACTGTAGTATCCATCATCTGTACTTTCAGAAATGAGAATAGGTAAGAAATCTTCTCTCGCATTAAAATTGCAGTACTGCATATCAATACAGTACTCAATGAGTATAGTATTACAGTATTACCCATGGAGCTAGCGGTGGAGCGGAATAAATATGGTGCAGAGCGGTTTTCAATTTAAAGGCCAGAGCGAGGATTTCGCTCCACGCAAGTTCGCTCTGATGCACTCACAATGTCAATTAAAAATGTTGGATTATAAAATTTGTATAATAACATTTCTTTTTTAATCAAAATCTTTTTTATTGCTAATTTCACATTATAACAAATGTGCAGTGCTGAATATTCGCTACAGTGACATGAGATGGATACATATCAATCACACCATGCACAAATTAAATGTATCAAATAAACAGGGAAAAACCAAACCAAACAAAATTAAATTTAAAAAAAGACAAGAAGGGGAAGAAAGTAAATCGAACAGTGTGCAAAATAATCCCTTCCATGTCACTGCCAGGTTACTAGTCATGTTTTGAAAAAAAATCTCTGTTAGACCAAAACCTCAGAGTGTGTAATAAATTTGCAACATGGCTGAGCTGTATTCAAGTACGGAAGAGGATTAGGGCCACTGAAAAAAAAAAGTCAGAATTCTGACTTTATTCTCAGAAATCTGACTTTAACCTCAGAATTCTGATTTTAATCTTAGAATTTTGGATCTTAATGTTGATGGGCACCATGAAGGAAGAGATGTGGGAGCGCTCAGCTTCACTGACAAAGATATGAGTTGTTTGAGGCCAGTGACACATTGGTGGAAAATGACAGAATTAGGCAAC